TCCACGCAAAAACAAATGGATTTAATAACGTAGAAAAACTTGAAACAGTTTGAAGAATAATAAGTAAAAATAAATAAGAAAATCGAATATTCTTGAGATAAACCAACTATATATACCAGGGAAATTTATTATTTTAACGGAACATATCATAAGTTCAAACAATAAAAATTATAAGTTGAATAGAAAAATTACTAAAATCGTTCTATGTGAAAAATACTATTGAAAATGTGACATTACAATTCATTAGAATTATTCCAACATTTATGTATTTTTTTTTAACATATAATTAAAAAACGATCATAGTTGCGCAGTATTGAATAGCAAAAAAAAAAAAAAAAAGAGTGGAAAGTTATTGTATCACCAACAGTAATATTATTTCGGTTGTGTAAAATAACATTATATCGCCGTCAGAAAACAGGAAAAATGATTTAAAAGCGGTTTTTTTTTTTTTAACTCGAAACGTGTATTAAGAGAGAAAAAGAGGAAAGTGTCCGTAATGTATAAGAAAATTTCCCAGCGCAACGCAGCGCAGTGGCCCCCACGATACGATTTTCCTTGCCGACCCGAGGTTGCCATTTGGGCAGCCACAGTGTCATTATATAACGCAAACGCGGCACCAGTGCACGACATGGCAGCGCTGCGGGACTGTGGGCGTGGCGTGGCGTCGAGCGGTGTATACGCTAGAAATAAAAAAAATACATGTATATATATATATATATATATATATATATATATATATATATAGTACACGCGCAAACCGTACAACATATATCCTACCCAATACGCAGCTGCAGCGCGATAGGAAAACGAAGTGAATGCCGCCGCCGCTGTTGCGAAGCGTAGAGCGTCAGCTCGTTTCCAACAAAGCCCCGTGTACGCGCGCGCACATACGGACACCGGAGTTGGATAGAGGGAGAGATAGAAAACGGGAATGGAAAAAAAAAACCCATTGACGCCGACTGGAAAGGCTCGGTGCTGCGGCGCGCGCGTTATAATAATTTATTTTCATATTACTTCCTCCGGAGCTCAAAAACAATTACCGATTTTTCCTCGGTCTCTCCTCTTCCCCGGAACACCACAACGCCGAAAGCTTACGTATAATCGTAATAATAATGGTAACGTACAAATGAATTTGGAAAAATCGAATTCGCGAAACGTCGCACACCGCCACGACAAAAAAACAATCCCGAAAAAGTACGATGATTTACATTAGCGACTACAATATAATTCGACGGTGGTAGTGGTAGTAATAGTACGTAGTAGTAGCAGTAGTAGTAGTTATACTACTACTACTATATAATCGTAGTATATTTAATAAAATAATAATGTAGCCGACGACGTTTATAAATTAACACGCGGTTATCGGACGGAGGCGAACACAAACGAGTCGCGAGACGCTAAAAATAAATATTTGGTCGCATTCCGATCGGCTAATGAATGAATCAATTACCGTCTAAGCGACTCTAATTTATATAAATAAATACATAAACACACACACACATACATTGAAATGGTAAATACACACGTACGTACGTGTATTGTGTACACAGCGGGCGTGTGTGTACGACGGCGGCATTGGTTTTTGTCGTAAACCGGACACGCGCAGGCGGTAAGTGGCGGGGAGACGTGTGGAAATGCCTTCACTGTCGTGTGGCCGACAATACATAATAATAATAGAATAATAATCGTTATCGCGCGTATTAATATAATTAATATACATCCACCGGCGGCGGTGGCGGTCCGTCGATGCAATTGGAAACGTTATTATATTTTTATTGCATACAATTAACGAATATCAGGTTTATCGATTGGAAATTGTGAATTTACTGCACTCGCAAATGAGTCACGGTCGAATTATCATTGAGGTATCCAAATCCTATAGAGTTTGGACACTACTACCACCACCACGACGCACAATTTTGATTACAAAATATTTAAGTATTTTTTTTTAACGAACTAGTGAAATTTATTTTTGGGAGTGGTCGGAAATCACTTGCCCACATCAGGTAATCTTGTCCATAGGTGTACACGCCTTGTATTTAAGGGGGTGCCTACAATATTTTTGGGCCTTATCTTAACAAAATGTGTAGGTATATTTAATAAATTATAATTATGGTATACAAGTCCCAATAAATATATTTTCCTTGAATCTTGATCATTGAGCTCAGATAATTGTACTTTTTTAGTCAATTATAGCTGTTAAATTATCATAATAAGTATTTGCATGAAAATTTAGAAAAATTAGTTTAATTTTTACTATTACGAAATATTTATTATTTACCAAATATTTTATTATATTTTAGAATTATCTTTGTTTTGAGCAACATCAGTTAAAATAGAGGGTCCCATTTACAACATTTCGGGGGGTGCCCGGGCACACCAAGTACAAACCCCTATGATCTTGTCGAACAATTTAACATATTTAAGTTGACTCTAAGCTACGCTGCGAATCGTTAGTGAAACGATTGCGCGCAGTCATCTGCGACTACGTTAAAATTGAAAGTATGTATAGGGTTCATTGAAAACAATGTAGAAGTCATTAAGACAAATTGCCACGCAGCAACCGACTTAACTCTCAAATTCGGATGAAAAATGATCGAAGTCATCGAGAGTACAACATAGGATTGCCGAGTGTTGTACACCACCGACGACCATTTGGTTGTTAAATACCGCGTACACACACGCATGGCGGATAATTACCGCGTAAAATTAAATTATCCCGTATTGTTATCGACCCGTACGCAGCATGTATCGTGTAACCAACTTCCACTGCGGCTCTACCCATGTGGCAAATTGATTCGACGGACGAGACGAGACGAGCCGTGCGATAGCGGTGGCAACGTCGTCATCGTAGGCACGGCCGATGAAAAACGTGTCGCTTAGACGTTCGGAGGAATTCGAAATTTAATAACGTATCGAATTTTCTAGGCAAAATAAATATATACAAAACACTTCGAGGCACGTTGAATACGTAACATACACTTCTCTACGGTACAATCCGAGCTAAAGAAATTTCGGAAAGCGAAAAAAATGCAATAACGCGAAAAACTATTCTCCTTTTTGTGTTTAAGTTGGCAGATTTTTCATCTTGTTCGATCGCCGCGAGGTAGCGCACCTATATCGATTACATTTAATTTATCGAAAAATAAACGACCTACCTTTACGAACTAATTGAACGAATATCGATGCCTATTAAATAGTTCCGGAGCCCTCATTTTTTATACTAGTACTATTTTAATAGTATAATACTACTGCCACCAGTGGTCGTAATATTTAATGTAATACCGATTTTTCGGAAGAAAAAATTAATAATTATAAATAAAACTGTAAAGGAATATTTATCAACAACGAATGCCGGTTTCTTCTCTTTTGAATAATTTATATTTTTCCCGGTTTTTTTTTTTTTTACTATCGAACTTTATTCATAATTAAAATATCCGAAGTTGGTTAATACTTAAGCAATTTATTTAAAAACTATCAAATGGAAGTACCTATAATATTTTTAAGTGCTTTGAACAACATATTATCATACATTTCTTTATCACAATGAAACGGTAAACAAAACGATAAATATTATTAATAGCTGAAGGGTCCCTAATTTGAAAGGCATTCGAATATACTGGTACATCGTTCAAACAGTTATGAAAATATTTGCAGACATAAATTCTATAGAAATAAGGGATATCTTTAGAGAATATTCCAAAATAAAATAGCAGAAATCATAAATTAATCTGATATCTGTTTAAAATAAATAAAATAATTAGACTTATCCATAAAAATTATTTTGTATTAATATCGAAATTAAAATAACATCATAATTATTTCGGAAACTTGATACACAAAGTAAAAGTAATAAAGTATTTGAAATTACCACTATTCCTTTTAATTATAATCCTTAAACTAACTCGATATTGATAAATAGAAAAAATGTTAGTAATTTAAATACACACATAGATAATTTCCTTATATTTGTTTATCTCAATTTTTTTAATATGGACGTAAAAAATATAATAAAGGCCGTTAGAAAAATACAATTAAATTATAATCTAAACAAAAATTTAACAGACTTCGATTATTAAGGTTGGTTGATATCACACTGTCAAAAATAATGTAGGTAAATAATGCTCGAAATTTAATTATTAATTCGTTAATTGATGTTTTAAATTAACAAAATAAAATTGTGAAAATTAATAATATTATGCCAATAAATTGATTATCAATTTAATTGCTTCACTAAACACAATATTCATGACATTCTTGATGTCAGGAAGAGAGCAATTTTACATTAATGCTAATAAGTTATAAAATCAAGAGTTTTTGAGTGAATAAATTTAAACAAACCATGATAGTAATTATTCATTTAAGTACTATTTGATTAGTAACAATTAAAAATAAAAGAACCCCTTGCTGTAAGTTAAAAACAAATGCCGGTTGTATTTTGAAATAAAAATAAGAAAATATTATAAGAAATATATAAGTGAAATAACTCCACATTTAATGAACAAATTATATTGTCAAATATATATATTTCAAATAGTCCAATAATTTATGATAAAATACTTCGAAAAATAGATTACCTATTGCAAGTCAACAAATAATGGTATGATATTGTATAACATGGTATATCATTATTAAAGCAGTTACTATACTATTTATGTTCACTATACAGTTACCTAATAATACTAACCATATTTAATTTATGAAGACTATTGCAATTATTGACTTAATAATACATTTAAATAATAGCAGTTAAACGTATACAGTACATACAAAATGAAATAAACAATTTTTGGGAAAAAAGAAAACCCTAATAAGTTACATATCATGGATATTTTTAGATTTCAGAAAATGGTCTATTCAATTAGTTAAATTCAATAAATAAGTCTACATAAGTATAATACAAAATCGGTTAAGATATTGATCAAGATTTGTTTAAGAACCATTACTATTAGTGTCTTACAAAAGTAATATTTTAATTGTATTATTAAGCATTAACTCACCGATGGAGGCATATTTCTATAAGGCATGCCATGTTGAGGAGGGAAAGGTGGCATGTTATGTCGCGGCGGCGGCCAGTTTTGGTTGTAATGTTGTTGGTTCTGTACTGGTGGTGGTTGAGAACCATCAGTTTTTGGGTACTCATTGTTGTAATTGTTCTGATAACGAGTTGCTGGATTAGATGACTGAAGCAGCTGGTTGAGCGTAGGTGTAGGTCCAGTTGGCTGAGATATACTCTGACCGGACATGTGGTATCGCTGTTGAGGAAACATTGCACCCGGTGGTCCCGGCACACGCATCATCGGCTTAGAATAAGTAGGCCTAAACTGGCTAAAACTGTTGGGTTCAGCATTGCTATTGACGTGATGCTGCTGCTGTTCTGGCGGAGGTGGATGGTGACCAAAACTGTTTCGGAAACCACCAGGAGGAGGCGGTGGATAGCCGTCCTTATCAGGCGGTGCTTGTTCAAAATTGTTTGTCTTCGGCATGTCACCGCCATCACCACCACTGGCCGGCTGTTCACCGTGCTCCGGTCGGCCGTAAGGAGGCCCACCACCGTTACCACTACTCATTCCGTCGTAGCCGTGATGATTGACCGGCACCTGCTGTTGTTGTTTGCCTTTGGGCGAGTCCGGCGCCAGGCCACCACTCATGGGCGTCCTGCGTTGTTGTTGTTGCTGCTGCTGTTGCTGCTGCTGCTGCTGCTGCTGTTGTTCGTGGCTGCCATTCTGGAAGCCGGGCACGTCCAGCGGCCTGTCTTGGTCACGATTGTTCACGTCGCCGCTTGGCTGGTTTTCCGCGTGCGTAGCAGCCATGTTATGCGTTAGAGGCAGCAGAACGTTTGCCAACACCCCGCCGCCGCCACCCGTCAACGGTAGTGCACATAATAATACGAGTCAGCTACGTTATAATGCCCGCGCCGTCCGCACTCGGCAAACCGAATATTGAACATAGTAATCGGGCAGCGTACATATTAACAACGAAACACTCGCGTCCGCTACGTTAGCGCACGTCTCCGGGGTTGGGGCCCGCGCCGGCATCGGACATTGCCAACGACACGAACACCGAGCGGTGTGGTTGGTGTGAGATTTTCTACGCTGCTGGTCGGACGGTCGGTCGGTGGTGTGCCGCCGCTGCTGGTGCTGCGCGCGCGGCTCGTCCGCCGTTCGATAACGGGGAAACGAAAAAAAAAAAAAAAAAAAAAAAACTTCACGAGAACGCGAAACGAGGTTAGGACGGCAAAAGGTTACGACGCACCTCTTGGACGACGACGGATCGAATCCCGGGTGGTATCGGCACACACGCGAACGCCGTCACGACTACGGTCACAGGACGACGACGACGACGTCGACGGCGGGCCGATGTTTATGGTGTATGTGTGGTGCCGTCTGATCGCGTCGGCATAAAACTATTACCAACGACGACGGCGGCGGTGCGAAATCGACACGAAACCCGACGAGAAAACTGCACAAAAACCGTACACGCACACACGAACACTCGCGCACGGAAAAAAATAAATAACAACACACACACACTAGAAAATCATACGTGCCCGTGTATATGCAATACCCTTTTTCCAATAAATTTCGGTCGAGTAATACGCCGCGCACACTCACCGATTATCTCCCGTAGACTCTGAACAGAACAAAAATGTACGGCGGCCCGTACAGTGTGGTCGCACGGCCCGGCTTCACTCACGCGTCCCGTGGCCACTCTGTATAACGCGTACAGACGCCGCCGCTGCTAGTGCTGCTGCCGCTGCCGCCCATAACATCGACGTTTTTGTTTTCCGTTTTTTTTTTTCTATTCCGTTCAAATTACTCCCGTTCGAACGGCGGATATATACGCGTGGACTGGACAACTGTGTCCTTTAACAGCGGAAAATGCGGAAACGGTTCATCACGATTTCGCCGATACCGCCGCCACAGTCGAATCTCATTGTCCCGCGGTTCTCCGTTCTCGATTGTTGGCCCGAAGCGATTATAACGCCAACGATAAAAACGCCGGTCAATAATGCGTGCGCCATCTAGTCGTCCAACCGTTTGGACGCGGCTGCCACGAATATAACATAGGATTTGTTTTTCACTCCTTTTTTTCTATTCCCCCGTTCACGCGCGCAACTGACCCGTGTACGTTATTATTTCATAATAATTCGCTCATTATTTTTCTTTGCCGCAACGATTTTTCTGTACGCGTTTTCCAATTTTTTTCCCCGATTCTTTAATTTTTTTTCTCCCCCCTGTTATTTTTCGCTGAATCGAAACGTTAGTCCGTTTCGTATTGCGGACTCGCTTTGCACCTCTCGTGACCACACGCGCGCGCACGCATCGTTGTGTGTCTCGTGCGTGTAATGTCATGCGCGCGCGCAAACCCATGACAACAGCGCGTTACGTGGTGTGCTCCGCCATCCGGGCCACTGTTGTTGCCATTTTCCAACAGAAACTATTTTATTTTTATTTTTTTCCTTCCCCGTGTATGTAACACGGTAGAATTCAGTTACTATTGCTATAAACGCGGTGCAAAAACCTCACAAGAATATAGTTCACTAGCGTTACAGTAGAGTTAAATTATTAAAAATTACACGCCCGCAATTTGAAAATCTTGATACGAATTACATCGGTATTCCTTTTTTTCGATCGATAAATTAGACTAGTATCATTGACGATGAGTATTATCTTTCCGTCAAATCAACATTTGATGAGATTAAAGAAAATTACCACATGGTATCATCTGATGTGTGTGGAGAATAGGTTCATCTATGACACACTACGATAAAAAAAAAAGTTCCCTGGAAGAAAGAAGCATTATTTTTAATGTTAAAATCTGTTTTCCGACTTAAACGTTTTTAAATCTGTTACCATTTCGCTCATTAAATTACAATTATTCTATGATTTTTATTAAATTTAATGTCCGAGATAAACTGTAAATAACTTAAACAACATTAATAACAACATAATCAATCATAAACAATATCAATACAATATATAACATTCTTAAAACTTATCTAATGTAGTGATGTCAAATTAACATCATTAACATAATTCTTAAATCGATTAAACTTGGGGAAAAATTATTATAGCAGGCTAGTATGGAAACAATTTTAACAGAACAAGGAGTGATTTATCTAATCTTGTGTAAGCAATAATATTATTAATAGTTTGTAAAAATGTTCAAAAATAATAACTATTTATAAATTCATGTAGTTATCTATAAGCTATAAATATAGTATTTAAATAGTTATTTTAGGTATCCAAGCACCACAACTATGTTCACTATGGATGATTCACTATATATTATTTTCTATGTGTCATTTAAATTATATTTTACCATTGATTATAGAATAAATTAATTCTACAATCAATGATTTCACATATACATTAATATTTGTCATTATTACATAAAACGACTATTTACATTCATTCATTTTGGATAAAAATAAAAACTGTCAACAAAATAGATACATAAATGTGATACTTTTTTTTTTTTAAATATTAAGTTAAATGTATTTAAGTATTAATAAATAATAATGTTTTAAATTCAGTTTCAATACCATTTTTATTTAACAATTAAATATATTTAATACATTTTATTTAAAAATCTTTAATTTATAGTTTGAATAGTAAAATAATATTTTTATCAAGAAATCTATTATATCATAAGAAAATCAAACTTTTTAACAGTAATGCAAAACTATCTATTGAAAAAATACAAATTTTCTATAAAATATTTAAACTTAATTTAACAATAACTAACAGAAAACAAATAATTTTTAGAATGTCATTACTTGAATGAAACAACAATAAATATACGTTTATTGATCTATAGTTAAATGTGTGTTTGATTTTATTAGAATATACTATAATATATTTATCTACACCATACATTTCAAGTACATAAAATCTTGTTATGATCTTAAAAATATTTAATTCTTGTTTTATTAAATAATAAAATAAATTTTTAAATATGTTTTCCAATTTTAATGAAAACTTTTAAAAATTAGATATTCTAATATAAAAATAAATGTACATGATATGTAAGGCATAATAATTATAGAACATATAAATTGTTAAATGCTTGGAAACAAGTTTCGTACAAGATCAGTACTCTTTTTTTGTAATTTTAAAGGATCAAATAAATTTCAAAAATATAACTTTTCATAATAAAAGTTAAATAATCATTTCAGTTCAACTAACATAAAAATGCAGTTCTCATTATTATAATGATAACATTTTAATTATAGATTGTACATTTAATGGCCCATAGTATTACACTATTGTAGATCACCATGATTTTTCTGAGTCACAAATTTATTTCTTTTTTTGAGCTGTACCTCTTGCAGTCCAAGCTGTTTTCAAATTCAGTGCAAAATGAATTGAAAACCCATGAATTTGAATAGCAAGAGCAATGAATATATACCAAAGTATACCATAAGGGAAATTCTGAAATCAAAAAGTCATATTAGAGCATATTATTGAACATTATCATTGCAGCATGATACTCACTAGCCATAGTTGAATAGATTCATTAGGACTTTCTGTAATAAATGTATATACATCTGGCAGGTAAGTAAAAAAGGCATAGACCACTGGCAGAATACCGAGCGCAATAATCCATTTGATATATAAAGAAATATTTTGTACAGAATTATGTTTAATTGCACGTAATGCATAAATTGAAGCTGGCAAACTCAAACACCATAAATATTCCCATAACAACGGCTGAACAAATAAATTATTATTTTCTTTAAAAATGTAAAGTCATGTTTTTCCTTAAGCATTTTATTGAATTTATTATATAAACTAAGCAATAGAAATATTACAGTATTACATTTTTATTACCTTTGGAATTTCAAGTTCTTCAATTTCTAATACAAATATATCCAATTTATCCAAAACGTCAGGGCATAATTTTGCAACCATAAGAAAGAATAGTAAATAATGAAATAATATACAGTATTTAAGGCGACTTTTGTTCTGAACACTAAATAAAAATTCAATAGTTACAAATTATTTTAAATCATAAAATATACTACAACATATATTCATATTTGCTTTAAAATTGTTTTTAATAATTGCAGTGTGCATACCAATCACAATTACATTTTTTATTATTTTTTTTTTATTATGTAAGTATGAAGTAAGCACCTGATTTTGTAGTGATCAGCAACTTTTTGGCGATGAGAAAAATCTGAGCCGTCTGAACCAGCCACTGTTGGGCCCTTTGACGACATTACCTAAAATATTGTTTACAGTTATACTTAAACAGTAAGGAGATACAATATTAGCTTAAAAATATGTAACATACAAATGTGAAATGATCACACAAACATTATATCAAAATACATGAAGCTACATTCTCAAAAATAAAACTGCCAAAGTGGTCAGGTCCCTGCTCAGTGATAACAGCGAATTCTTAACCTAAATTTAATCTGCATAAGCAGCTGTTTGCTCTTTCTTAATGATAACCATTTATTATGCTTCTTTTTTTTTTTGTGATTATGGTAGGTTTTTTCCGACAATTATTTTAGAATTGGCTATATGTCATTATAGAAGATAGAAGACTATGCTGTAATTTGTCATGATTTGGCAACGACATCCGTACTATACCTCAGCCTACAGAGTGGTTATATTTTTAACACTTATTAGTTGAAAATCATTAATCAATATATTTGTTTTTCGGAGCTATAACATTACTTAAAATATTATGTACGTTATCAATTTTATAATATTATTATTTTTTTTATAAGCAACCTTTGCTTTTTAAGCTTAACGACTCAACAATTACGGTATCTATAATCTTAGTGCGATGAAGACATTATAATTGGAAATAGTAAAATAAGAAATATGAATAGTATTAATTATAATAACCAACTAATTAGTTATCTAATGAGGGTGACTAAGTTCGAATTTAAATCGAAGTGATAGAATGTGATAAGCCGATAAAGGTATGCATAGACAATTTTAATTATTGGAGATATCACTCATTATATAATTATATCTTTTATTGTATGTTCAAATATCTAGTAGGTATCAATTTTTAATTTTGCAACCTGGAAGTTTCTTTTGATTGTTATTTTAAATAACTCACTTTATGAAAGTTTATTTTCACTCATCTAAACAATATTGTGTATTTGTATGATTGATATGCTATTATTTTTTTTTTCTTTTAATCTTTTAAATGTTTAAATATTTGAATAATATATTACATTGATTTATATAAGAAAAAATAGTTTCACATACCTAATGTTGTTTTATAGTCTATACAATCTATACAATTGTATTTATCTCCATAGTCGTGACTAGACTTCATCCGCAGTGGCAGCCTAGCTATGACCAGGGCTATATGTTAATGAACCAAAAAAGGCACTTTACACCCAATACAGTAATTTTTGTGGCGGGGGGGGGGGGGGGGGTTGCAATTTTTAACATTTTAGTATTTTAAAATGAACAAAAACCTTTAACAATTTTTCAAAAAAATTGCGGTACGTAGTGAATCAGGTAAAAAAATATATGACGTGTATATATATATATATAAGTATACAGTACCCACATTTTTTAAATAGAACATAACATCATAACATAAAAACAATGCATACTATATTTTATAATATTATAAGAGTATAAGACATAATTCAAAGGACAAGTCTTCTTTTTGTTGGAACATTTTTAAAATCATCAATAACTTTTTCAACATTAATATTACTCAAAAACTCTTGATTAATAAATAAAAACAATAAAGCATTGAGCCTTTTTTTGTGTACTATGATGCTTCTTAATTTTATTTTTACTATAGACATTTTGGAAAAATTTCTTTCACATCCATGACTCGTCACTGGTATAACCACAAAATATATTAGACAACTATGAAATTTCTGGACATTATCCGATCTTCCTCCCATTGCTAACCAACCAAATCACATATATATATAAATCCCATGATATCCCTTTGAATGTACCTTCAATACTTTTTAAAAGATTAATTTCTACAAGAAGCTCTTAAGTTTGAACATTTAGCAAATTATTAAATATGTATATACAAGATGAGTTAAATTCAACTCTAAATTAATTAGTAAACCAACGAACCATCGGATTATTAAATTCGATGTTTCTTGTTTAAATATATTATTATTTCCAGACAATTACACATTTATTTTTATTTTTGTTCTAAAAACCTTTATTATTGATGTAGTCTTGATTTTTTTAATTTTCATACCTTTTTCGGTATTGTTTAATATTTTAAAAATATTGTTGAGCATCTAATAAGAAATTAAAAAAATTATACTATACCTATTCACCTAGGTAATAGTAAAATAGCAAAATAGGTATATTGCATTTATTATTCGATAAGATATTATATTTTCGTTCAATGTTTATAATTAGGGAACAAATTTATATGTAATAAAAATACAGAAATATGTACAAATATATGTAAGTATAATTTATAAAATATGTGCTAAAAACATCCAAATATGTGGGGAAAAAAAATGTAAAAAAAAAGTGATTATTATTATTAAATTATCAAAAAGATTTGTTGCATTGAATTATTACAATATCTTGTAAATTATCAAATGTTAAATGTCGCCTATTAGGTATCAAAATATTTTTAAAACAGCTAAATTATCGTTTCATATCAACCGATGTATTAAAAGCATATTTCAAGTGCATACTATCAGAAGGCGATAATTTCAAATTTTTAAAAGGTTGTCTGCCATTCATTATGTCATTAATTGTTTTAAAATCAATATTGCCTGGAATTTTTTTCTGTAACAGCATGAATTTTCTTTTTTACGACATCTATTGGTCCGCTTAGGAGTTTTAATCGCTGATTCAACAATCTGCATACTATCGTTTACTATAATTTTGTTAAATTATTTTTAATTAAAATTAAATTATTTTCAATGTTTCATTTTGCATAGTATTTTGAGCTTTTCCAATAGCGATAAAAGTTTCTGGAACTAATTTTGAAATAATTTTTTGTATTTTCGTACGAAGAAGACGTATGAATGATGAAATGATGAAAATATGTTTAAAAATATTTAAAAATTAGTGAAATATGTAAAAATATGTAAAATAAAAGTATCATAATTTTAATAGGAATGATTTAAATCATAAACATTTCTTATCGAATCTTAAATATCTCGTTTTAATAAAAATATGCATTTACATATAAATCCGTTCCCTATTTATAATAAAGACTCGGGTACACAGAACGCGATATTCACATTAGGTCATACTTAAAAAGTTTACAAAAGGAATAAGATTGTACCTAAAAGTGTTCAATGTATGTTAGCATTTATAAAAGAGTTATAAAATAGTTTAGTTGAAGTATATCCTTATATTGATATTGGTCTAAGGATGCTAATATGTATGAACACCTTCAAGTAATTGTTCAACGGAAAAATCATTTTCTACATTAAAAAGGGTCAAAACTTAATTAAGATCAACAACGGGAGAAAATCGTCTTAATTAATTAACAACCCTCAATATTTAAGCTGATTTAACGAAAACTATTAATTTTAATGATATTATTGAACATTTTTCTTCTCAAAAGTCAAGAAAAAAATTATAAGCTATCGATTATTTTATTATATATAATTAATAATAAATATAATATATATAATCTAATAAAAAACCATGTATTGTTAATCATTTTGCATATAATAAGTGTTAATTCCTTTTTCTATATTTAATATAAATGTATATACATATATATTTTTTTTTTTAAGAAAGGAATATTCACTTTGAAAAAAAAATCGGTTAACGTTAGGATATGTATTACTATAAAATTATCTAATACAATATCGTAAAACAACTGATTTATAATTTGTTTCATAAAATTAATTTTTTATTGCTTAGCTTTGAATTTATTTATATATAAATATATATATATTTTTTTTTTTGATAAAGGGGAAGGGAGGAAAAATTATTTTGCCCCAGGGCGCATATATTAAATGCACCAATGGTTCTACGGCAGACGAGTCGATGCGTCAATGGGCCAATTACCTACGATTATTGTAGAGATAGATTGAAAGTGGAAATCAATTGACGCAGACACGTATTCAAAGCTAATGATGGAAAATCCTCAGCACTCGCACAAACGACACGAAACTTAAAGCAATGAATGGAAAACAATCGCACTTAGTTCATCACAATGAACTCCTGCCCTCCCATCGGTGTGCACGTATAGGAACAAGAGCTCCTTGTGCACACACTTGTGGGCTATGGGTAAAAACGCCGAGTGAGAGTGTGTGACTCTGTTATACACAGAAGTAAAGCGAGATGGACCTTGGACCGGTCCTTTGAGGATTTGACTAATTCAATTCTTCAATAGTTTATTGGTGGGATATGCCTTTATTATTTGAATTGTGTTGTCTGTGCACGTATCGAAATAACCGTTATTTATTGGTTTTTTACATGTTAATAGTTTACACTGTTACAACTTATTTTTGACGTGATATATAACCGAATGATGCACATAATTATATTACCAACTTACAAATTTTTTTGTTGTGTCCTCACAACAACGCTCTTCTGCGAGAGTGAGGATGATATAAATGTTTACAAACATTTTAAAACGGAGATCAAAAGTGGAGAGTTAATAGGCAAAACACAATAATACTATTACCTACTACTGGAGACAATTTTTTATTTTTACAATTGTAAAGACAGTATTAATGGCTTTATAATGAATTATGGTTAGGTTATATGTTTAAATTTAAAAATAATTAATGTTTATATTTAACATTTATGCGTATACAAATAAATACGTTCATATTTTTTTAATTTGCCTATTTGACAACAGATGGTATTATTGTACAAGATTTCTTATACATTAATTTACATGATACTCTTTCGTTTATAAATCACATAAAGAATAAGGTTTAAAATATAATTAGATGGATAGTTGATGAAACAAAATACATACGTATATATACACATTTACACACAAATACATATACTTTCACGTAAATATATATTAATACGTTTTATTTTTTTTAAATGATATTACATTTTGTATCACAATAATGATTAACTTATAAATTTAGATTAAAAATATATTTTTTTTTGCTATTCTTTTTACAAATAAAATTTTTACATTGCAATAATTATTAACTTATCTTAATTTTAGATTAACAGCATTTTATTTTTTATTTTTTACAAATTCAATTTTTATATTACAATAATGATTAACTTATCTTATATTTGTTTTAACAGCATTTCTTTTTGTTTTTTGGCCCTTCTGCTTTGGAAACTGTCATTGGATATGCTTCCAATCTACACATATAATCATAGCATATAAGCATGAGCACCAAACAAATAAACGATACGAAATGTTAACATCTAAATGCTTTTGGACTGGTCCGATTTGCAAACCAACCTTTTACTTCTTATTTTCACGTCCTAATGCACC